TCTCAATTACTGCCAGAAAATGTTGACATGCTTATTTTCTTTTCTTTTTTTTTTTACCGTGTCCTGTCTGGCTGTGAAGCAAGCAGAATTGATGTCTGAATGCTGGTAACAAGCCTTACAGATTTACTCTCAGGTGGAGCATTAAAGTGTCTGCTTTTAATGTCACGCCTGATACTTAAAACTTTATTGTTATTGAATGCTTTGTAATTCCGACCAGACACGGAGACAGAGGTGAAAGAGCAAGGAAAAGACAAGGTGGGGAGAGAGGGGGGGGGAGGGGGTCCACAAAATAAACAATGAACAAGTCTTCATCTAGACCTGCAGGAAAAAAAAAAAAAAGCAAAAGGACAAAAAAAAGGGGCACAACAACAATACAACAAGATCTAGCTATCACTGCGTCAACTTGATGAAAAAATATATTTTTGCCATATCGCCCAGCCCTAGTGACCATACGTCCGGTTTTCCCCGGACATGTCCACTTTTCACTCTGTCCGGGCGTCCGGACTGGGGGTTCTTGTATTGATGAAAATGTCCAGCTTTTCATCCAGGAGCAGGGATCGAATTATGGGGGAGTTGGATATCCTACACATCCAGGGGAGCCGGAAAAAAGTTTTCTCCCTATATTACATCATTTATGGACTCTTCTGGGCAGAGAGCACAGAGAGCGGCACAGCGCTGCGTTGTTGCGTAGCGATCCAGGCTGCTGCATCCAGCGCACGGTCCATTCTCAAAGTGGCGCAACCAAAAAAACTATAATTAGCACACGATCGTTCATGTCCACACATGTTCTCTACTTTCAGTCTTATTTGTGCCTGCAGCGCTCTGTTACTGCGGAGCTCATCACCTGTGCTGTGGTGATTTCACCTCACTGACGCGGCATCGAAACGCGCTCTCCGCTTTGCGGTCAGGAGATCCCTTTGATCTGCTCAAAAGTAACTGATGAGGTAAAAAAGTAAGAATCCAGGCAGCAGATTTTCTGGAGAGTTTAGAGGAGATGCAGGAAGATGAGACATACAGGACAGGAAAATAGTTAAATAAAAACAGGAAAACAAAACTAAGTGTTGAAAAGTAAAATGTAGGTAGATTTAACTCCTCTACACGTTTTTACCTGTATAAAGCAATAAGTTACACACATGTAATATTTATACATCTGATACAATTCAGATCACCTTCAACACTCAGTCACACACCCAGGGCCGTTTCAAGGGCTTTTCTAAACTTGCAAAAAGTAACAAAACCATTTGAAAGCCACTATTTGTGGATTCTCTGAAAGTTTCCAGTGTGACAACTTATTTTTCCATTGATCCTATCGTCTAATCTCACAGCTGAAACAAGCATCCTTAATAATTTGTGCAAAGGAAGCTTACCGATGCTGTAGTAAAACAAAAGGTATAATAATTTATTATTAATAAAACCTTGTTGCAGCACTAAAGCAGAAAAATGAGATTTTGCAATAAATATGCTGAATATTTACATATGAATAGTTTTAGAGCCCTTTTATTGGCAGAATCTGATATTAATTTAGTTCTTACAAAAAAATGGGTCCCAACGTGGTTTGTGTGGCGTTGCCATAGTGTGACGTCATAGGCACAGATCCCCTGTCCTCTTGTTTGGAAATGGAAATATGATCACCCTATATTAAACAAACTGTCCACCCGGGCTTTTGCGCTGCACAGAGACGCTTCGCTGCCAATGACTTTGAACGTCAGTTGAGAGTCAGTCTCATGCAGACTGACCAATGAAGAGAGGGCCTCAAGTTAAGACCCTCTCCTCATTGGTCAGTCCACACAAGGTGGGTCAAAGGTTACCCTGAGCGGGTTACGTGATGTCAGGCATTCAAGTATTGAGTATATTTACTGCATATTACAGTAAAATATTCTGTATGTGACCATATTATGGTGATCCTTGGGTCGTGATGATGGGGCCCTTGAATATTGTTGCCCAGGGTACAACAAAGTGTTAATCTGGCCCTGGTTGCGACTAAACCTCTGAGGAAATATGTTGACAGATAAAGTGTCCAGCTTTAACACTTAAGTGTGTGAAATATTTTGTTTTCACTTGTTTGAAGGTACAGCATAGAAGAATAGAATAAGCAAAGAAATTTTAAAATAAAGTAAAATATATTAAGATAATATTTTACTTAAAGTTTTATTTATGTTCAGTTTTTGGAAAGTTTGGTTTGGTTCTCATTGTTCGAGAAGCTAGAAACCTATGCACATCTGAAAAATTGATCAGTCAAGTTTGTGGAAAAGTTTCTAAGTTCACAACAAAGAATGATTTCCTGCAGAAGTTTGATCTTTAAAATTTTCTTTTAAACTGTTGTTAAAATCTTGTATCTTCTCGTGCCGTGCCGTCTCGTGAAATCAATATCGTATCTCGTCTCGTCTTGTGAGAATTATATATCGCTACACCCCTAATTCTATGCAATGTTTGATAAATGAGACCCCTGAACATTAAACAAGAGACTAACAACCAACACATCCCTAGTAACAGAACCTCAAACACCTGAAAACACACCAAAATTGAACAAAACAACTGAAAACCAGCTACCCACAATGCACCTCACCCGCTGCCTGTTCCACTGTAGTGATCACTACACGATGAACAAACAAGCAACAAAGTGGGTCCAAAAACATGCTTAATATTCACCAGTTCTTACCTTTGTTGGTTTATGGTCTTAACTCATTCACTGCCAATGACAACTAAAGTCGTCATTTGCATATTTTACTGTTTGGGCTTTGGAACGAGCCCCCGCACCATGAGAACATCCATCCCAGCTCTAAAGCCGATCTTCATCTGCGTACACCACACGTCACGTGATCAGGAAGCAGAACATCCATGTGTTAGGAGATCGCTTTGGGCCGCTGCTGTAAAAAAAGTGAGACGCTGACCGGAAAAACTTCTGCCAATCACAATTCAACAACAGATTATGAAAGAACGGACAACGCTCAAAACGCGTGGATTCTTTCTGATGTAAGAGGTGACTCTACTCTTTGTTTTGGTTGTTTTGGAGTTGACATCATCATAGCGCACAACTTTCTGTGACTCTTAAAAAAACAGTGAAAACGCTGAAAAACACTGTCAGCGTAGGGCTTTTCTGATCAGGAAACGGATGGCAGTGAATGAGTTAATAATCTTTGTTATAGTACAAAAACCCACTTTTTTTACCTGCTGGAGAGTGTTTATAAGTCTCTGATGCCATATTCCACCATTTTTTGCGGTTCTTCATGATAAAAAACTCCATGAGGTGTACTCAGCTGCTCTGCAACAAAGGACGATGAACTGTGGAGAATTTCCAGTTCAGTCCTGACCTGTGCCCTGCCGGTCTTCTGAGTATGTTTTCGCAGTCGCAATACCTCTGCACCCAAAGGCTCTCGTGTTTTTTGGCATTGATGGGGAATCCAGCGTGCATGCGCCAGATTCAGCGCAGGTCTATTAGCCTAGTGGACTAGACCAAATTCATGCATTGCAAAGTTTGGTCTAGGAACGTTCCACTGGAGCCTTTACGCCCCCTAGCAGCATTCTGGCTGGCCAATCACAGCTCTCTATAGAGGTTTCAAATGGATAGAGAGCTGTGATTGGTCCACAGAACAATCACAGCTCTCTATCCACTTTGCGGGCCAATCGGGGCCCTCTATTTGGTAGGTGGGATGATGCGATGGAGTGTAACAAGATGATGACATCTAGTTTGAAACAGGCAAAAGTAGGCAACATACATTTTGGACCTTTTGGACTGGGGCTTTATTAGAATCAAGAGCAGATAGATGTATTTAAGTCCTTTTTTCCAAATAGGAAGTATTACCACCTTCTTTCACAGCAAAGCGCCTCGTTTCTTGACATCTGTTGCAGTACGTCACGTTGTTTGTTGTCCAGTAGCATGCAGAGATTTTTGAAAGACAGCGGTAGAACCCGCCTGATGACGAGAACCATCAGTGGAGCATTGTTTGCCAGGCTATAGGTCTATGGTAAAGATTGTTGTGCCCAAAAGTAACAGGAAATACATCACAGGGTGATTTGTTCATGGAAAATGTGTGAAATTAAATGTTTAAACTACACCTAAATGCAGATTAAACACAGCACTTATAGTCTGTATGATTTATAGATCATTTAGATTAATTTTCATGCTTATTATATTTTGTGATTCCAATGTTCTTCTTCCTCTTCCTGTGAGACTGGTGGGGCGGCGCCCTAGCGCCCCCTATGGACAGGTCACCACTCGTGATTTGTCGTTCGCGAACGAAACGGCTCTTAGAGCCAGCTCTTTGAAGTGACCGATCAGAGCCGGAGAAACCGAGTCTGAAGATGTCGCTCCACATAATCTCCTCTCCCCAAAGTAGCTGCTACTTACCAAATGACCAGATTTATGGTGGTTCTTTCCTCCTGTGGAAAAGTTTACTGAACTTACAGCCCTTTTCCCTCAGTTTTCTCTGTGTCTGATTCGATGACGTCACTTTTGTGAAGCTCAATTGTAGTTCTGGACTTATTTTCACACAAAACCTAAAATATCGTTCCCCCTGTTCGAAATTTGCACGTTTATTTTCACGGACATCATATGTGAAATCCATGGCACAAAACAAGCGGAATTAGAAAATAGCATTTTTAGTCCCATTGACTTGCATTCGTTTTTTCGTTCTTCCAGGAACCCATGATGCGGAAGTGACTTAGGCTCCCTATACATGATCGTGACCAGACACGACCGCAAAGGTGACTCCCTCTGTTGTCCTGGTGGGAAATTGTTTTGTAATACTCCACAGGCAATGGAAAAGTTTGAAAGGAAAACAACTTTGTCAATGTGTGTACGATAAAAAAATATTAATTACAGAAAAGTCGTTCTATAAATTAATAAGTTGTCTGGTTTAAATTTCACACTCAGCTTCTTGGTTTATTCCTTTGTTTTGTTCAACTCAGAAAAATGGAGCATATCAAAAACCCGTTGAAGTCTAATCTTATCTCACTAGTGTTCTGACAACAATGGAGTCATAGAAACACCCTGGTCTAACCTTTGCTGAAGTTGGCACTGGCTCCTCTGTCCAGTAGCAGTTTGGCTAGGTCGTAGTTGGCCACACTGACAGCATACATCAGAGGGGTCCAGTTGAAGCCCAGCCTGGTTTCTACGTTCACTCCTGTACAAATCACAATCATTAAGTTACTACTTATGTGTTTGAAAAGAAAACAATTAGAAATACAGTCGCTCGCTCTGAACGGCTTCTCCCAAACGCAATCTTCTGCTTTTGTTTGGCAGTACTACACAAATTGCAAATTTGCTCACAACTCTCATTCTGTCCTGAGATTAAGAGGATGCAAAGTCTGAAAATATACTGGAAAATGGATGATTTAATCTCAGATGTAGCAGTCATGTAGAACCTGATGAGTGCTGCTGAGTCAGAGACGGTACGGTTCCAGACTTTAGTAAACAAAATAACATGAGTCCAAGACAACAAAGCTAGAATCCATTTTAAGAATGATTAAGCTCTCTTACGCACATCTTTACCACATTTTGAAATGAAACAAAGTGGAAAAACTGAATAACTACTTATGGGGCATTTGTTATAACGGTTTTTATGAGATACCAACATACGAAGGTCTCATGGGACTTGCCTTTGTCCAACAGCTGCTCAACAGTGCTTACGTCTTCTTTACTGATGGCTCGTTTCAGCAGAGAGATGTTATCCTCTGCTGTTACATCATCATCCAAACTCTAAAAGAACAGGTAGAGAATTATTATTTAAATAAACATGACTTTAATAACTCAACAAAAAACATACCAAATTTTCATGGTGATGCAATTCAACAAATTTTTGCAAATGTAACATGGATGTGCAATGGTGAACAACTACTACACCTTTTTTTTTCAAACTTTGTTTAAGGCCATGACCTGGCCAAACACCAAAAATCAGTTTGGCTCTCTGCCAGGTTTCATGATCCTTTAAGCAAAGACTGCATGATGCAAACAGTCTAATCGTCATCAGTGCTGGAAAACGTACTTGTACTACTTTCAACATGAGGATTGCTGATGCAATTAGCTGGGATCCTTATATAGGAAACGTTTTTCTGATTGGCTTAATTAACTGAACAGTATTGGAATGTTTACTGTGTGAAGGTCCTTGAGACGACTCTTGTCGTGAATTGGCGCTTTATAAATGAACTTGAATAGAATTGAACACTGGCTTAGAAAAGGAAAACTAGACGAGCGGACTACAAGCTGGCCAGGTGACAGGAGGCCCTGAGAGGCTGATGCAGGAAAACCTGGATGAAGGCACGAAGAACGTGAAGAAACAGATTTTTTTTCCATTTTCTACAGAAAATGAGACTTTACATTTTAATTAACAGAAATTTGGTAATTTTCTGTGCGAGTTTATTTTTATCCAATAACTTATTTGGAAAGACGTAAAATAAAAAATATAGATTAGTTGTTTTACTAAAAAAAAACTCTTTGATAGCAGAATTATCAACCTGCAGAAAACAGTTAACTTAAAGTTTAATGCTAAAGCTGAGCTAACGTTAGCTCCAGGTGCTAACAAGCAGACCACAGCCCTGAGGTATAAAGAGATTTCCATTGTAACCTTGATGAAAGAATAACTCTTTTCCGGGAAAGAGCCGACGTCCCACTCATCACTACTGGCGTCGCTTTCATCTCCAGCCGGAATTCCGAAGTCCATCGAGCTAGCCATGCTGCAGACACCGTGGTATCCGAACAGGTGTTAGGTAGATGTTCTGGGAATTTCTCCTACCCCGTAAACCATCCTACTGTAGTTGATGAGCATGTGCGCGCATGCGCACAACACAAAAAGGGAACGCTACTCCGCTGTCATATTTGCAAGAAAATAGATTAGTAAGTATTAGTACTTTTTATTGATGTTGATACTTGATTTTTTTGGGTAAGAATTAGGGTTATGGTTAGGGTTTGTGTCATGTAAAACACCGTAAAATTATCCTACGGATAGGACATTTTGCCAAAGTCGGACGTTTTCTCAGAACACCCGGAAGTAAGATGGACAGAGCGGGGCTTAACCTATGGGCTTAACGCATGGGAGCAAAGTGAGAGACCACGCCCAAATTTAATTTAGCTTCAAGTGAAACAATAAAAAAAACTCCTAATATCTGCTTTCTTTTCTTGAATTGCCCAAATTTAATGTTGACACGTGCATCCAGTTCAAATTGAAAACCCGGTGTGTTTGTTCTGCTTTTGAGAATCCTGGTGTCACCGCTCCATGGATTTTGTAATCTTATTTCCAGTGAATGTTCTGGTAATTTTCTATGTATTTACGTGTAAAGTACATAATATTTAAATAGTTTGGGTTCACCTGCAGAGGTCTTCATTTCAGTAATCAAAAGGGATCAGAAGATGAGCAGGTGGCTGGTACAGTCTGTGTCCAGGAGAGGGCGCCCTTTTCTCTTTCCTCAGCCTCGTTCGTGTTTGAGGATGTTAAAACACCTGATGCTATGTGTGATCTCCTTCTTTAAAGCAAACTTAAGTTCATGACTTACTTTAACATGCAGGTTTTTATTACGCTGCTTAAGACACGTTTTCACCTTTCTGAAAGTCACAGCTTTAGTTGCTTTTGTTAAAAGTCCTTGTTTCTGACTTACACACGTCAGCTTTCTGTGTGTTTGTGATAGCACTGAGTGTGTGTATCCATGTGTTTATGTCCTCCCAGAACTCCGGTAGAGTTCACCTGATGAATGACTGTGTGATGTCCACTAAAAAAGCCAATTTGCTGCATTTTATCAGTGTTCCCTGCAGGAATGTCTAGAGGTGTTTTGATCTTCCCTCTCCTGAAACTGTGCGTAACGAGAAGCTGATAAAAAGTTTCAGGTTGGATGTCCCAGAATCGTTTCTGCTAGACTCACAGGAGAGGAGCAGCTTTGGCGACTTGGCCAATAAAGAAGCGCGGACAACCCTCTCACACGGAGTGAAGAGGCAGCGCAACAGGAGCGGACCTGGAGCCGCCACCCCCCACCCACCCACACACACACCAACACCATCCTCTGGGGTGGAGAGGAGGATAAAGGCCGAACCCTCCCCGGAGCGCCAGGAGGACACACCGATGAGAGCGGCGCAGGGACCCTCGGCTGCACACGGATCAAAACTGGCGGCGCTTTTAGGATGCAAAAGTCACCGGTGGAAGATGCAAACTTCCTCTCCAAGTTTGTCTTTTGGTAAGGCTGTTAGACCGTTTCTGACTAACACCTGGACACGTGCTGAAGCTTTCCAAAACAAGTTCTGCTGCCGGTGCGTAAATGCGGTTGGACTGGCGCGCTCCAGTGCGCAGGTTGTTTTAGGGTCTTATGGTCATCATAAAACAGGGATTTGATTTGTGGTGATTAATCTGGATTGTTCAAACAGAAAGCCTCCGATAAGAAACAATTAACATCTTTGTTCTTGTTTGGAGAGAAAGAGATCAGTTTTGACCCAAACTGCAACAGCTAATAGCTACCTCAAGACTTCCACAGCAGTTACAAATGCAATTATACCTTCCCATGTGCAAAATTGTCACGTTTCATGGTGATTCCAGTAGAAATGTGATGAGATTTCAGCCAGAATAAAACTGAAGTTGTCTTAACCAATTCCTGCTGCAAATTACAGAAAGCAAAAAAAGCACGTGAAGCTGCGTTTGTGCTGATGTATTCTTAAGCAACACTTGCTTGAGATCTGAAGGTGGCAGGAGCATCTCTGGTCAGAACTCATCTCTGCTTCTCCAAACTGGGTGTTTTTATTACATCATCAACTTCTGGTAAGATATTACTGGTTAATGACAGTTTCAGAAAACGCACTAAAATGTCCTTTTGTGATTTCCAGGCACGAACCATGACACCATTCTTATTTTATAGTTTTATTCATATTTTGACAAAAAAAAAGAAAAAGTAAAAAAAAATTCACCTTTTGAAACAAACTTGTCAGAGTTGTTAACCATTTCTTGTTCTTTTCTTACACAGTGTTAGTAAAAAGATTTTCAGGGTTGTAAACGTCTGCTCCAATCAGCACGCATTCCAATCCTGAAGTATTTAATCAACAACTAAATAGTAGTTTCGTATAAAAGCAATAGTTACACTTGATTGTTGGCCACGCTCCGTATGGGTCTGCAGGTCTACCATTGGCCTGAACAATTTTAGATCTGGTCAGTCAGCGCTCTGGTTGTAGATCGATGTTGGGCACCAGAGCTGCGATGGATAAAACTACAAAGATGCCTGTTTGAAACGGCTTTGGCATCATTTTTAAACGATTTAGACTTGGGCCTTTCTTTGAGACGTGAGCAGATAGAGGTAGTTAAGTCTTTTATTTAGAAAATGGATGTATCTATTTCTTCTTCAACGACTCTGTGTGATGGACTGCCCTTTGACAAATTTATGTTGTCTTGGACGCATCATGATGTCCGTTGGTCTGATTGGTCCTTATGCTGTCCAATTGGGTGCAGACAACGTTTGAAAGACAACCGTAGATCCTGCCCCATGACTGAGCTCTGTCTATGGGTCGTGGCCAGACTATAGGATGACAGCCCAGGCTACTGATTTACTATAATATTAGTTCAGCTGAGGTCAGTCCCTCCACTTGACTAATATCAGACCAGTAGAACTAACAATCACTCTAACAGAACCTTCCTGACAGCATGAAATAGGCAAAAAGATCTCAAAAAGCAACACATCAACACACTCAAGAACTAAAGGACCTAACTCAGCTAATGAGAACTGGCCCACTTCCAAGTCCAAAACCTCTGTTCACCCAGAAACAACACAGCCATCTCCAAAAAACATTTTGGGATCAAATTCTTCTAGAAAAGTGTTCTGGGGACTGAAGAGACAAAAGTAGAACTTATTGGAAGGTATGTGTCCTGTTCCACATGAATGTGACTTCTCTTCTTACATTCTGAGACCCTCATCACCACAATGTTGCACAAAAAACAAAGTTTTTCTGACATTTTGCTTGAATTCATTTTGTGTTTGAATCAGTTACGGTAATTGCCTGTTTACTTGTCTTAGTGCGCGGACATGTGGTCAGTTAGAGAGCTTGGGGAGACATGAACACATGAAAGCTTTGCCTGTAATTCTCAGCTGTGGGTCAATGATGAGAAACCACACACAAACACACTCACAGGTCCTTATGTTTGCTCCATACACAGGACTGATGTGTTCCATCTTCTTGGGACTACAGATTGAATCAAAGCTTCCTTCCCTTTCACTGAGAACCATCCCTCCTACAGCACTTTATTACAGCTGCTTCTGTCATTATTCACCTCAGAAATAGCTCGTTACAGCACATTCACCTTAAAGCTTTTACTTTTGTTTGCCAGAGACTTTCTCTCACCACATCATTAAATCTGATTTAACCGTGTCTAGTATGAAGTGGGGTTGTTATATAGTTGTTGTCACTGAGACATTCCTCAGCTTCCTTTTTATTTAAAGGGACTATAAGGAATTTGAAATTTTGATGCACACGATTGCCCCCTCAGGCCCAATGCGTAACTGCAGCTTCAATAATAAGCTAGTGCAAGAGGCGTGCATGCTGTACGTGCACACTCCTGAATGAAAACAACAGCTGAGTCAGTCCTGCACCGGTGCAGTTTTCAGGTTTAGACTGTTTTACACAATTCTAATAAAGTAGACAAATAATGTACTCTGATGTATACATGCTAGACAAGCAGCCTAAAAAAATGTTCTATCATTTACAGAAGGCCCCGGCTTGCTTTGGAAACTATCAACCCTTTTACCCCATTACTATTTTATTAGTTAAAATTGTAAATTAGTATGATTAAAATGGCCCAAATTACTTTGGTGTGTAAAATAAATTCTAAAAGTATAAATAAAGTGATATTAAGGCAGATTTGGTGTGGTGATCCTAACCGTTCTTAAAGAACATACACTCACCTAAAGGATTATTAGGAACACCTGTTCAACTTCTCCTTAATGCAATTATCTAATCAACCAATCACATGGCAGTTGCATCAATGCATTTAGGGGTGTGGTCCTGGTCAAGACAATCTGAACTCCAAACTGAATGTCAGAATGAGAAAGAAAGGTGATTTAAGCCATTTTGAGCGTGGTGTGGTTGTTGGTGCCAGACCGGTCGGTCTGAGTATTTCACCATCTGCTCAGTTACTGGGATTTTTACGCACAACCGTTTCTAGGGTTTACAAAGAATGGTGTGAAATGATCCTCTCCACCTTCTCAGAACTAGATGTGAGATTGGTCTGGGAGTCGCAACCTGACTGCTCCTGCTACGTGGGGCACCAGTCGGGCTGTGTGCTCCCCCGGAGTTGGCCCACGGCGCTAGGAAGGAACCCAGGCCCCACCATCAACTCCAGCCCCAGAGCTGCACCACGGGCTCGCCGCAAACCCTGCTGACGTCACCTCCAGCTCCTTGGTGAGTCAGCCTCCAGAGGGGGTTGCAAGGACATCAGAGGACACTACTCCTGAGGTCTCCTCCCATTCCAGGGGGGCCATGAGAGGGACCGGACAGCAAGGTCGAGGGAGCAGGGTGGTGCCACCCATTTCAGAGGCCCCTGCTCTGCACGCCATCTTGGACCCCAACCTCTGTTTCCGTGCTAGTCAGCACCTTCCTCATCAACAGGCAAAGGGACCGAGCCTGCAGCCCATCCGACAGAGCTCGCCGGTCTCCAAGCTACGCTGGTCCGGCTCCACCAACTCATCAGCCTCCAGGGGTTCCAGGTGGAGACTTTATCCACCCTGGTTCTCCAAGAGGCGCCTCCAGTCCAGTCAACGGCTCTGCCCCCAATCCAGTCAGCGGCTCCGCCTCCAGTCAAGCCAGCGTCACCGCCTGCAGCGGCTCCGCCTCCAGCCAAGTCAGAGGCCCAGCATGCAGTGGCTCCGCCTCCAGTCCAGTCAGTGGCTCTTCCCCAGTCCAGTCAGCGTCACCGCCCCCAGTCCAGTCACCAGCTCCACCTCCAGTCAAGTCAGCGTCATCGCCTGCAGTGGCTCTGCCTCCAGTCGAGTCAGCGGCATAGCCTGCAGTGGCTCCGCCTCCAGTCCAGTCAGCGGCACTGCCTGCAGCGGCTCTGCCTCCAGCCAAGTCAGAGGCCCCACCTGCAGCGGCTCTGCCGCCATTCCAGTCAGAGGCCCTGCTTTCCGCGGGTCTGCCTCCAGAGACTTTGTTTCCAGCTGTCCCGTCTTCCGCGGGCCCACCTCCAGAGACTCAACTTCCAGCAGCTCCTAAGACTCCACCTCAAGTCACCGCCAGCCCTGCTCTCGCCCGACACAGAGTCCCCAGAGCCTGTCGTCTACTCCTCTGTGCCAGACGCTGCCCCCCAACACAGTCGCCTCCTCCTCTGCTCCAGACACCGGCCCCCCAGAGCCCGTCGCCTCCTCCAGTGCCCCAGATGCTGGCCCCCCAGTCTCCGTCTTGGTCTGCATTGGGCATCCGGTGCTGCCCTTTTTTTGGGGGGGGGGGGGGGGTCTGCTCCGTCCTGTTTCCCCATTCTGTTCATTCCTGTGTCTCTCCTAGTTGCTCCCATCTGCCTCTCGTCTCCCAATCACAGTAGATCTCAGCTCCTCGTGTATTTAAACCCTCCCAGTTCTGTGTTCCTTGTCTGTCCATTGTTTCCATGTCCCTTGTGCTTCCACTGTTATGCTGACGATACTCAGTTATATCTATCCATTAACCCTGATGAACCTAGTCGGTTAGTTAGATTGATTACAGGCTTGTCTTGAAGACATAAAAATTGGAGGACTCAAAACTTTCTGCTTTTAAATCAAGACAAGACTGAAGTTCTCATCTTTTGACCTGAAATCCAGAAAAGGAAATTGCTTAGTCAGTCACCTGACCTGAACGGCATTAAACTCATCTCCGAGAACAAAGTAAGGAACTTGGTGTTATCTTTGACCAGGACATGTCATTCAAATCCCAGGTTAATCAGGTTTGTAGGATTTTCTTTTTCCACCTTCGGAATATTGCTAAGATTAGAAGCATCCTTTCCAGGAGTGATGCTGAAATACTAGTTCATGCATTTATTACATCAAGGATGTAATAAATTTACATCACTGGATTACTGTAATTCATTACTTTCAGCAAGTCCACAGCCATCGGCTAGCACACTGCTGCTAACCACTTAAACATTCTCCCTATCCTGATAACATTTTTCCTTGACGATGGATGTGCTACTACTAGTTTACCCGTATAATTATAGATCCACTAGGATAAATACAATAAAGATTATCTCTCACCAAATAGAATATTTACTAAGAAATCACAATATAACCATAGAAACATTACTTAGTATATATGGTGTGTGTGTGTGTGTGTGTGTGTGTGTGTGTGTGTGTGTGTGTGTGTGTGTGTGTGTGTGTGTGTGTGTGTGTGTGTGTGTGTGTGTGTGTGTTTGTGTGTATATTCTCCATCCCCAGTGAGTCGTGGAGGATGGCTGCTTATACTGAGCCAGGATTCTCTGGAGGTTTCTTCCTGTTAAAAGGGAGTTTTCCTCTCCACTGTCGCTAAATGCTTGCTTAGTATGAGGATTGCTGTAATTTGCTGGGTTCCTTATAGAGGAAACTTTTTTTCTGATTGGCTTAATGAACTGACCTGTACTGGAATATTTACTATGTGAAGTGCCTTGAGACGACTCGCGATTTGGCGCTATATAAATAAACTTGAATTGAATTCAATTGAACAGCAGAAGACCCCACCTGGTACCACTCATCTCCACTACAAATAGGAAAAAGAGGCTACAATTTGCACAAGATCACCAAGATATGACAGTTGAAGACTGTAAAAATGTTGCCTGGTCTGATGAGTCTCCATTTCTGTTGAGACATTCAGATGGTAGAGTCAGAATTTGACATAAACAGAATGAGAACATGGATCCATCATGACTGGTTACCACTGTGCAGGCTGGTGGTGGTGGTGTCATGGTGTGGGGGATGGTTTCCTGTCACACTTTAGGCCCCTCAGTGCCAACTGGGCATGGTTTAAATGCCACGGTCTACCTGAGCATTGTTTCTTATCATGTCCATCCCTTCATGACCACCATGTACCCATCCTCTGATGGCTACTTCCAGCAGGATAATGCACCATGTCATAAAGCTCCAATCATTTCAAACTGGTTTCTTGAATGTGACAATGAGTTCACTGTACTACAACGGCCCCCACAGTCACCAGATCTCAACCCAATAGAGCATCTTTGGGATGTGGTGGAACGGAAGCTTTGTGCCTTGGATGTGCATCCCACAGATCTCCATCGACTGCTAGATGCTATCCAATCAATATGGGCTAACATTTCTATAGAATGCTTTCAGCACCTTGTTGAATCAATGCCACATAGAATTAAGGCAGTTCTGAAGGCGACATGTGGTCAAACACCGTATTAGTATGGTGTTCCTAATAATCCTTTAGGTGAGTGTAGCTCAGACCTCCAGCTCTCCTCAATCTCACAGACTCTCTGCTACGTTTGTGCATTACCAGAATTGTCTTGAACAGCGGCTTTTCCTCCTTCTCCACTCCTTCGTTGTGTTTTCTTTCCATCTAGATCGTGGTAATAATGGCGCACACCGTTGCACCGAGCAACTGGCAGCGGATGTCTCATGATATAACTATCCCCGTGTCACTGAAGGAAATTCAGATAAGACACAGAGTTGTGTGTTAATGGAACAGTAGATCAAACTCAAGCTGACTTTATTTGCTAAATGCAAGAGCCAAAGTGCCTGACGGCTGTGAGATTGCAGGATGACGCCTGCACCGTCACGAGTAGAAGCGTGAATCTGCAGCAGCAGCAGGTGTAAATCGGCAGTCTGCAGCTCTGCAGCAGCTTTCTCATTAGACCAGCCAATAAAGGTTTATGTTCTTGTGCACAAGCGCAGATAATCATTCTCTTTTCTTGCTACTGGAAGAACGGGTCAGAGCGCAAATGATTTCTTTGTTGCTAAACTGCCGAAAATGTCTACAAGTAAGTTCTACAGAAAGTAGCAAAGGGTCCTCAGAAATGTTACTAGATTTGTCACTAGGCGCTAGGGCTGGGCGATATGGCCTCAAATCTATATTGCGATATAATCTGAAGCATGTGCGGTAACGATATATATTGCGATATATTGCTATATATATTGCTTTTAAATATCCTCATGTGGCAAATATATGCCACTTGAGGCATATAGGCCTCCTCCTCCACCCACTCCATGCTTGCAGTCACTGCCATTCTGTTGACCCAATGTCAGCAGGGTGCACATCTTAAGCTGTTTTTACAGGACCATAGCGTTTTTTAAAACGGGATTTGCCACGGCACCCTGGGGAGGGTTTTGGCATTTATAGTAGCAAAGCTGAAGCTAGAATAAACTGCCATCAGGCACCTCTCCAACCAAGACGGGATATAGCGAGGTCGCTGCCCCCCCCCCCCCCCCCCCCCCCCCCCCCCCCCCCCCCCCCGCATGTGATGTACAGGGTCGCGCATTCAGCGTCAGACGGAAGACAAGTCAGACTGATGAAATTTCTTTTTCAGGACGTTTAGCTTTGATGTGACCTGCTTTTTGACTCCTGCTCAGCCAGTGTTTTCACCGCTTTGTCCAATAGCTGGCTGTCTCTCACCGTCCCCGTAAAAAGGCGACTAATCTGTTCGTCCGCTCGCACGGCCAAAAGCTCCATGGTCTCCATGGCTTTCCTTCCGGCCTGCACCCGGCGCACAGTACACGTGACTAACGTGACCACCCTCTTTTGCGGGGGGGGGGGCTCCCACAGTCGCTCCAGAGGGATTACCGGGGCTGACACGCGTTTAGCTGTCAGAGGCAAGGGCCTGATGCGGCAATATTACTACCAAGCGAGGCGGAACGAATGCCGCAATATTTGCGCAACACATTTATAGACATACCATTGCGGTAATATTACGCCGATATGCCGGCATGGTGTGTCCTATAAAAGCACCTTTAGTGACGTCATGTGTTGTTGCGATATCGCGATATAGCCAAAAACGTTATTATTACCCAATTTTATATCGTTTCTACCTTATATCGTTTCTATTGCCCACCCCTACTAGGCGCTAGGAACAGTGACAAAGTTGCTGAGTTGGCAACACTGCCTCTTGCTAAGCTACAGATAGCAAACGCTACGGGCATGACGTCATCACGTATTACGCTGCCTCTGGAAGGCACTGGGGAAGCAGGCTTTATTTCTGCGTTTTTACAGGAAAACAGAGGCAATCACAGTCAAAATGCCAGGGATCATTCTACAGGACCAGGGCACTGCAGGAGAATGTATGAGAAAGAAATTTAAAATTTCTATACATGTATTGGTTGTTAAATTTCCTTAAAATCCCTTTAAATCCATATTTATTCAGTCATGTTTTAGTGCTGGTTGAGCAATGCCTCTTATCTTTTAGCCTTAAACGAGCGATAACAACAACCTGGTTGATGTGTGATTTTCACACAGGTGGATTTCCCCACTGCTGAGGAAGGGCTTCACTAAAAAGTTGGATCTGAACGATGTCTACAAGGCTCCATCTTTTGATCTGGCAGACACCCTCTCTGAGAGGCTGGAAAGGTGTGTGTCTCCCCGCCTGCTGGTTTTATCTCTAACAAACAACCTTTGTTGATACGTTTTATCCTTCTGACTTGCTCCAAACTGCTTCATTCCTACCAAACCAATACTGTGTTACTTTTTCCTCTTTTGTTCCTGTTTACTTGTTTACAGATCAGTCATTGTTAGATTAGGACTAGTTAGATTAGTATTTATGTTGCTGATTAGGACTGAATAAGTTGGGACATTATTTTTGATTCTTTTCAGGTGAAAACACACCATTAATGCCTATACAATAGTAAATAATGCCACAAACACACATACATTGGGTTTATTAATCCATTTTCTATTATTCTGTAATTGTTTCTTTAACCTTTTTACCAGTTTTCTGAATATGGAAAACCGAAAATATCCCAATTTCACATTTTAAGGAGACTGAAGACACCAGTTCATATCAGCTGGTGGCAGAGTTGTGCTGTTTGTAAAATTATAAATTAAGAGACCAAAATGACTTATATTACAACAGAATCAATGTGAAGTACGATAAAACTGTCATGTATCTGGTATAAGTTAGTGCATTTACTATTCTCCTCCACCTCTTCATGTGGTCGCCACCTCTAAACCCACGTTTAGAAAAAAACCCGCTTATCTTTTCACTCCTCTAGTCACGGGGTGAATAAAAGTTCATATTTTTAGAGTTTTTCCACGAGGTATTCTTCAAGCTTCCCCATGTCTGCCGCTAGATATCTTCAGCCCTCTTTATGTTTTTGAGAGAGTAATGGCGGTGCTGTCGACGACAACGGCGTCCTGACCAATCACAAACTTGCATTCTCCGTCTTATTGGGCGGATGTTTAGAAAAGAGAGCTCAACTCCATCTGTCCTTGCGAGCCTGTTGGAGAGCCCTCAGAAGGATGGATAATGGCGTTGCATGCCAAGTATAAATTAGGCTTAAAAGTCTTGCCAACAGCAGCGTTCTCTTACAGGACCTTGGATCGAACCTACAACCTTCTGATTACGGAACAACCGCTCTACACCTTGAGCTCCTGCACACAGCTTCTCAGTTCTTCGGATTTATTTGGCTCCACACCTAAAAGGTGTTCAACCCTCTGGAGGCAGGAGATGCAGATTTGCACATTAAAACCTACCTACCTGGTTACTCCACATACATATTTCATGAGCATTTTTTAACTCAGAAGTACCCCTGAAGACTTAGTTGTTCCTCATTTTATCAAAACTTATTTAGAGCCTGAGAGGGTTAAAAAGGCTTTTGGTTTCTGACAGGATGGAGCATTAACGTGGTTTTCGTCCTGGCCGTGGAACACTGGACCAGCTATGCTTTAGGGGGGTGCTGGAGGGTGCGTGGATGTTTGCCCAACCAATCTACGTGTGTTTTGTGGACTTGGAGAAGGCGTTTGAACGCGTCCCTTGGGAGGCCCTGTGGGAGGTACTCCGGGAGTATGAAGTACCAGGTTCTCCGATACGGGCTGTTAGTTCCCTGTATTACCAGTGTCAGAGCTTGGTCCCTATTATTGGCAGTAAGTCGGGCTTATTACTGGTGAGAGTTGGACTCCGCCAAGGCTGCCCTTTGTCACCGATTCTGTTCATAACTTTTATGAACAGGATTTCTGAGCACACCCAAGGTGTTGAAGGGATCCGTTTTGGTGGCCTGAGGATCAGGTCCCTGCTTTTTGCAGATGATGTAGTCCTGTTGGCTTCATCAGAACATGATCTTCAGCTTTTACTGTAGCGGTTTGCAGCCGAGTGTGAAGCAGCTGGGATGAGAATCAGCTCCTCTAAATCTGAGACCATGATCTTGAGTCAGAAAAGGGTAGAATGCCTTCTCCGGGTCAGAGATGAGGTCCTGCCCCATGTGGAGGAGTTTAAGTATCTTGAGGTCTTGTTCACGAGTGAGGGAAAACTGGAGCATGAGATCAATAGGCGGACTGGTGCAGAGCTGTGCCGATCTTTTGTGGTGAAGAGAGAGCTGAGCCAGAAGGCAAAGCTCTCGATTTACCAGTTGCTCTACGTTCCTACCCTCACCCATGGTCACGAGCTTTGAGCAGTGACCAAAAGAATGAGATTGCGGATACAAGCCGCCGAAATGAGTTTTCTCTGCAGGGTGGCTGGGCTCTCCCTAAGTGATAGGGTGGGAAGCTCCGGGAGGGGCTTGGAGTAGACCCGCTGCTCCTCCACATCGAGAGGCGCCAGTTGAAGTGGCCTGTGCATCTGATTAGGATGCCTCCTGAACGCCTCCCTGGTGAGGTTTTTGGGGCACGTCCAACTGGGAGGAGACCTAAAGAAAGACCCAGGACACACTGGAGGGACTGAGTTTCTAGCCAGGGAACGCCTTCAGATTTCCCCAGAGGAGCTGGTCCAAGTAGCTGGGGAGAGGGAAATCTAGGTCTCCCTGCTAATTCTGCTGCCCAGCGACCCGACTCTGAATACGCAGATGAAAACAGATGGATGGATGTAGCATCAATGTGAATAAAAAGCTGAGCAAACTGTGATCATGAAAGGATTCACACCATCTGCACCAGAATTAGAGGTGTACATAAACAGATATTTGAAGTTTAACATTTATAACAAACTCCTTTTTACAACCAATAATTCAAAGTTTTTGAAAACCCAGCTGAGATTTGCATGGCTTCAACTTGCTGTGTTGTTTCTGATCTGGCTTGAGTTCTGAGAATTGTGACAAACGTTTTGATAAGCTTTCAACAAGGTTTCCTTTGGTATCCTTCCCCTTTAGACTTCCAACAAAGTTTCTTGCATTTATTTTTGTATCAGAAGGAAAATCCTGGAATGTCATCAATCCTAGAACACTCAGCTCTGACACATGGTCACATTTTTGGTTGTTCAAAATACCAACAGACACGGAGACTGAAGTGTAAGAGAAAGGGGTGAGAGAAGGAAGAGGTGGGGGAGGAGGGTTCACAAATATAATCAATAAATGATTAACAAGAATCTGCCTCTAGACCTGCAGGAAGAGAGAGGGAAAAAGGGGGACACACAAAAATACAACAACACCAAAATATCACTGTGCCATCAACATGAGGATATATAAAAGTAACCATGTTTGCTGAGAAACACACAGTAATGATTCATAGTTCATGTATTGCGAACCACAGCCACTACACAGGTGATGTGTTAAGAATGCCCAAGTACATTCTTGTGAGAGCACCATGTGAACACCTGTGTGCATACACGCGCTTGCATATGTAAGGGTGTAAGGTTTCTCCATAGCAGTGTCCAATAGTGAGTATGATGGGCCACAGACCTGCCCCCAAAGACGTGTGGAAGATGGAGGAGTGCCAAGCCCTAGAGATCCAAGGGTCTTGCAGAAGCGCAGGAACCCCAGGGAGACGGCTGTCGGAGAAGCCCCAACCCCCCTCCCTAAAAGAGCAGAGGATTTCCCTGGGGGACACAACCAGCAGCCGCCAGTGCTCTGGGAGATGACACCGGGCAAGCCCCCAGGCCCACCCGCAGCCGCCCACCCCCAAGTTCGGAACACAGCGACCAGGGACCCAAGGACGACCAACCCTGCCGGGGACTCGACAGAGCCTATGGATCCAGACCCCACCAGGCAGCCACTAGGAGTGACCTGGCAGAACTGAAAACCTTTCCGCCCCAACACAGGAGCTGCAGAATATGCTTGCAGACCGGGGCACCACCCGCCAGCAGACAGAGTGGCAGGGGGAAGGTAGGCGAAGATGTTGTAGCACAAAAACATGTCCCAGGAGAGGGGAGGAGTCCAAGACCCCACCTGACATATACATTCACACACAAACACAGTCACACGCTCCCTCCCTCATTCTCACACATACACATATGACCAAAAGACTTGAAGAATGTATGTCATACACCCACTCACGCTCCCCATACCCACCCTACTCTGGTCCGGGTGCTGCTGCACCGAGGGCACAACCATTCCCGGATACCAGAGCTAGTCCTGTTCTGCTGGGGTACTGATGAGCAGGCATCCCCGCCCAACACAGAGCAAAGCGACACACCATCTCAGACCCCAAACAGATGACCACCTCTCACTCCTAGCCTCCAGCCCCGGACAGCTAACTGAGAACAGAAGTGTGATAAGGCCCCCATTTCCCTCCGCCTACTCCAATGTGGTGCTGATGCGTGTTGTTAAAGTGCATTCTGTGGTTGGGGAGGGCAGTGCAGGCCTCTAGTGGTGGTGCTTTAAAACATCAGTTCAAGTATTGATGACCCCTCTAAAAGCATTTACCTTTATTTGTTATGTTTTGACCCCAACACTCAGTGGCACAGCATCCTGCAGCCTCTTTACATCCAGTTCTGTTTCCAGGCCTAACAGCCTTTTTCTGCTCTTATAGCAACTCTGTCTATTTTTTATGAGCACTGCTTATGAATGACCTTATGTCATACATTATAATAGTTATAATATATTATAAGTTTTATACATGTAATTGTGGACGTGTGATTTATATTTTCACAAGTTTAAGCAGGACACGTGGGTCTTTACTGCCTTTATAAACACTCCAAACGTAGAAAAAACTAATCATCCATTTCCTGTTAGTGTTTGGTTTTAGGAATTATGTGTCTAAAACAAGCTGTTTATAAAAACACCATTTTGTGATGTCACAAATGACAAGTGTAGATTAGAACCATCTCTCACATTCAAGAGAGAGCTGCAGCTCTACTCTGAGATTCCCGGGTATCGGAGCTTCTCAGCTTACAGCAGACTAAAGCGGGGAGGGGTGGGCGTGGCCAGCTCCATCTTGTTTATGTGTTTTGGATCAACCATAGAACTAGTATAACTTAAGCAAAAAAAATAAAAAATTCAAGTCCCTTTTAAATCACCACCGGACAGCAGAACTCTGCCACCTGCTGATGTAAATCCATGTCTGCAGCTTTATTAAAATGTGAACTCTGGATACTTGCTGCAAATTAACACATAGATCAGCATGTGTTCATTTATGTAAGGATTGGAACTTTTGATAAAGTGAAGTCAGATTCTAATCTGTAGTCTACCATTTGCTGCATTGCTATGCATTCTGTGTGTTGTCAGAAAACGAGCGCGTACACACACAGGTTCTGTTTAGGGTGGTGTGCATGTCCTCTGTGTGTTTACAGAAACACGCTAAGGGACATTCTTAAACACTTAAAATATGGGCTGGTATTTAAAACTGGACTAGACATTATAAACTAAAGGTGTGGCCCAACAAACAGCTGACCAGTTGATGCTGGACAGCATTTGTTCCTCCTGCGCTGAAATCCTTTACTTTCTTATCTCGTCTCATCTTTTCTGGTCTTTGACTGGTAACTCTTTGTTGTCTACCTTTGTGTTTGTTATGCTGTCTACCCTTGTTTTACTTTGACTCTGCAGCCACAACCTGCTGGAATCTACAGTTTCCTCTGGCTGAACAAACAAACCATAAAATAAATTAGAAACTTTTATTTCAGCTTATTGTAGTAAATAAAGTGTCGTTAGATTAGAAAATAACACATTTAATTTACTCTGTTTTATTAATTTAATCTAATTTCTTCTGTTCCTTCATTGCTATGGTTTGATTGTATTTTATAGGATTTGGATGTTTTTGTGCTGATGAATCATTTAAGTTTTCTTTTTCAGCATTTTTGAACACTTTCATTAGCTGCTTGGCATCACATCAAGGTCTCATGTGGCTCTCCCACTTCTGACCGTTTCTGTATGTAGGCGTAAAAATGTCTCCCTTTACAAAGGAGAGCACTTCTGGGAATGTGCGCTTTACCTTCTGTTAAAATTTGCTCCCTGCTGTGAGTCAGTCTTTTGTTCCCAGTACAGCCCAAACCAGTGAGTCGTACTGGGCCATAAATCTTTATCCGTCAAGAGCTGGAAGGGAGTTTTCTCAGCTTCTTATCTTGGGTTATAAAATATTTTTCAAACCACTTAAAATGCTGAACAGATTGAAAACAAAACATAAAAACATTGAAAATTAAAACACTATAAAATTAATTAATCCTAGAGGAGCTGGTGCTCTTTTCCTGACAGGTGACCAGTCCGCGGGTCCAACCCAAACCCACCTGTTACCCTGACATGCATGTTTTTGGTGTGTGAGGTGAAACTGGAGAAATCCTCAGCATGCATGAAATGAAAGTTCCAAAACAAAAGGCTGGTGTTGATCCTGCAACCTTCTTCCTGTAAGGCATCAGTATGCAAAATGTTAGTTGAACAAAAAGGTTAAAATGTATAAAACAAACACAATAAAACTGGTATGAAAACTCTGTAGCATTTTGGATCTGCTCAGATAACAAGCTGCTCTTTCTATCTATTCCACGAGGGATCCACCGATTTCCCTCTTTCCTTTTCATTTTCTCTCTCCCTTTCCTTACATTTTTAAATAACAATTTGTATTTTTTTAAATTTAAAACAATATTTTTATATAATAAAAAAATCTTTTTAAAATTTTAAATGTTTTGTTTTTGTGATGCGCCTCATGATTTTTATTTTGAGAGGCGCTATAGAAAAGGTCGTTTTCTTTCCTTCTTTCTAAAACTGCTTTTTGAGAATATTTCTGCATGATACAAAAGCATGCACCAGGTGTTCAGGGTCTCATCTGGACCCAATTTTCCTGATTTTCAGGACACCTCGCAAATAAAAGATTTACGACACTTAGGATACTTTGCTGCCAAGGAGGTGTTAGCAACCAGAACCAAACTGCTGGCATTTGAATGGTTGGTGTCCTATTCTCTCTGTGTGTTGACACTGCTGTTTCATTGTGTCGTAACTCTGTGTGCCCTCCAGAGAATGGGACAGAGAAGTGGTGTCAGCCAAGAGGCCCAAACTCCTCAAAGCACTGGCCAGATGCTTCTTTGGCCCCTTCGCTTTCTTCGGGATCCTTCTTTACCTTGGGGTGAGTCACGTCCCACACGGGATATTCATTTATTGTTTAAATACCATCGCTAATTTGTGATTAGGTCTTCCGGGGTTCAGTATGATAAAACTTTTACCTTGAATTCATTTTTATCTTTATTTAACCAGGAAATTCCCTTTGTGATTAAAGAGAGAGTGTTCTGTCCAAGAGGAAGCAAAAGACACAGTTACACAAATACAATTATATACAAATTTATGAAAAGTACAGTGCCTGGCCGGTGACATTGAGGAAAAAAAAAACTTGTGGCCACGAGATACTTAGTGTGTGGGAACGAGTTATTAACTCGTGGCCACGTCGTACTAACTCGTGGGAATGCATGAATAAGTCGTGGCCATGAGTTAATAACTCGTTCCCACACATTAAGTATCTCGTGGGCACATATTAATATCTCGTGGGAATGCACTAATAACACGTGGGAGGGTATTACTTAGTCGTGACCATGAGTTCATAACTCGTTCCCACGCATTATGCATCTCGTGGCCATGAGTTATTTTTTTCCCCTCAGTGTCACCAGACGGGCACCATAGAAAAGCAGTTACAATACATGGAGTCTGTCTTAAGTGTGCTCAATCTGGCTTTAAATTAATTTAGAGGAAATAAGCTCAGTTAATTTCCAGTCTTTTGGAAACCTGTTCCTTGAAAGTAATTTTTCCAAGTTCTGTTTGGGCAAACAGAAAACAAAGCAACAGCTGATCGTTTGCACACTAACCATAAGAAATGACACTTCTCCATGAGGTGAACTTAAAGATGTCGGTGGGCAGCAGTCCAAGTATGGCCTGGCAGCCTTCACTGTCGCGTTGCGGGTGTGGAGATGACGGACCATGTGTGGTGGAGCAGATCAGGAGGTACAGATGCAGGCTTCAGGTAAAATAAAATGGTTTTAATGGTGGAACGGGAACGAACAGTACAAGACAACGATGGCAAAAACAACAATGATCTGACAAAGACTGATACAAGGAGGGAGGTATAAATACACAGGAAAAATGAGGAACACATGGGCAGGTAAACAAGGGGCAGGTGAAAACAATAAGGACAAATCAAGGGCAGGATAGAGACACAGTCAGGGAGGCAGGGGCAGACCGTGACATTCACATTCTTGAACTCTGCTTCCTGATATCTGACCACATTAAAACTCATGGACTGAGTAAACATACTCTCACAACTATTCACAGCTATCCAAAAATGAACAAGCACACAATGGACAAAAGCAAATGGTCAACTCCTCATACAAATAGTAAAATCATGGACTGTATCTATCTAAATTCTTGCTAGGCACTGCTGGTTGGATGTAAACCATGCACACTGTGTTTCGTTGCTTTGTACTTGTGACAATGACAACAAAGTTGAATTCTATTCTATAAATGAAAGAATGCCAAGGTCCCAACTTTCTGATGGACAAAAAAGCCCATCCCACTGCAGGGGTCACCAACTTGGTGTCTTTGGACACCAAGAAGTCCCGAGAAGCCCTATAAGATGCACTCAGGCCTGTTACAAAAATAGCACAATTATTTTCTGCTGCTATATTTTTAAATCACACTTTATTTGATTAAAAACATGACAGCAAAGATGGCTTACAGAATTGTGAGAACTGCAGAAGAGCAAAGCTAATGAGTCACACAAAGAAGCTCAGTGGGAACCAGTGGTGAAAGCTAGGGTTAGGTCAGTAGTGAACATTTGTGAGCAGCAGAAAGGTTTGATGCCAAGAAAGAGTACTACAGATACTACGTTTGCTTTAAGGATGCTGAAGGAAAAGAACAGGAATGGACACAAGGATGTGCATCTTTGTAAATTTAGAGAAAGCGTACAACGACTCAGAGAGAAGCTGAGGTGCATGATGAGGTCTGGACCGGCAGAGAAGTAGAGCTGTGCAGAAGATGTATGAAAGCTGTGAGACAGTAGAGGGGTTTGCTGCAGGAGTGACAGAGAAGTTCAAGTTGGAGGTGGGAGTGCATCAAGGATCGGCTCTAAGCCCCTTCTTGTTTGGTTTGGATATGGACAGACTGATAGCTGATGTTAGACTATGATGTTTGCAGATTACATTGTGATCTGCAGTGAGAGCAGGATGCAGGTAGAGAAAGAGCTATATTTACTGCAAAAGAGAGGAATGAAGACAGAATACATGTGTATAAATGAGAGGGACACAGGTGGAACGGTGATGTTCCAGGGACTACAAATAACTTCTTTAGGTACTTCCTAAGCAACAGAGAGGGTGGAAAAGTGTGAAGCAGGTTGGAATAGGTGGAGAAAAGTGTCAGGTGTGATGTGTGATAAAAGGGGGTCGGGTGTAGAAGACAACAGTGAGACCAGCCATGTTGTCTGGTTTAAGGACAGTGTCCACGAGGACAAGACAGGAGACAGAACTGGAGGTTCTCTTTGGGAGCAACGAGGATGGATAGAATCAGTAATGAGTCCATCAAAGGGTCGGCTCATGTTAGGTTTTTGAGATAAGGTCAGAAAGGACAGCCTGACATGGTTTGGACATGTCCAGAGGAGGGACAATGATGGCATAGGTAGAAGGATGCTGAGGTTAGAGCCACCAGGCAGGAGGCTGCGAGGAAGACCAAAAAGGGAAAAGAGGACATGAAGTTAGCTGGTGTGAGAGTAAGATGCACAAGACGGGACTCAATGGAGACGATTGGCTGTGGCAACTCCTGGAGGGACAAGCCCACAGAGAAAGAAGAAAGAATCACATTTACATTGATATAGATTTGGAAATAAAATAGTTTAAAAAGTATTTAAATGTATTTATTATTGATGACGTTTAGTTAAACTCAAACCTACTCTAACATTTAAGGAGGAAAAAGAATAAAGATATTTAAACAGTAATGAATACCATTGATGCTTTTTATTTAAAATTCATTTGCTCGTGTGTAATTTGGTTAATCCACATTCAACATATTAATGTTGAATGGGGATTAAGTTTGTTTCCAAATGAAAAGGTTCAATCGTACATATCAGTAGATAAAGTAAAATGCGCACATTTGCCGTCACTTTTTCAAAAACTATTACGTTTGGCTTGCGACTTCGTCCCAGTGTTTCATTTCGGCCCAGTGTGAAACTGAGTTGTCACAACCCTGAACTAAAGGCTCAGGAACATGAGGCAGTTGTTTAGCATTCATTAGCTGATTAGAGTGTGACATGTTGAATCTAGACTATTGAACCTGTTCACAATATTCTAATTATCTGAGATTTTGAATGTGGGGTTTTCATCAGCTGTAAGCCATAATCATTACAGTTATAATTAATAAAGGCTGAAATATCTGGATTTGAATGGAATGAGTATCTTGTTTCACCTTTTAAGTAGAATTACTGACATTAACTTTTGCTCCATATTCTCATTTTTAGAATTTCAACTGTTTAATCAAAAATGTCATTTAATGGGTTGATGGTAAAACTGAAATCCTCACTTGTAGCTAAGTATCAAATGTACTGACCTGCATGTGTTCTGTGGTCAGATGTGTTTACATGTCAGATTTATTTTTAGGTAAACAGACATTAGGCTGAACATTGTGCGATCCATGCTGTTATCAGTTAACCAATGACTGACAAAAGGGAGTTACTACAAAACCAACTGTACTGCTGAAGAGAACGGGAGCAGGCAAAAAAAAAAAAAACCAAGTTTGTTCTAAATTCAAGACTGATCAGTAAAGGTGCAGAAAAATCTCTTGGTATTTTTCATTCATTTATTTTTGCAGAGTTTAGAAAAATGTCAACTTTCTGAAACTGGAATTTTATGATTTTGTAGCGTTTTTGTAGTGCTTCCTCTAAAGGGTGAGACACACACCAATGTTGTCAGAGTTTATTAAAAGGAGAGAGAGAGAGAGAGAGAGAGAGAGAGAGAGAGAGAGAGAGAGAGAGAGAGAGAGAAGAGAGAGAGAGAGAGAGAGAGAGAGAGAGAGAGAGAGAGAGAGAGAGAGAGAGAGAGAGGTTCTTTACAGGGACGGGTACCTCCACCCTTCCACTTGGATCTCAGGGGGGTGGGCTGGATGGATTTACGACTTATTGTTGTCTCTGAGTTAGTGCACATGATTAAGGTTGGTGAGGGGATAGTGCTGTAATTCACTCAAAGCTTTTCAGATTCAGGTCTCTGGTGAAACAGCAAAGAGCGCAAAACCATTTACATCATCTTAGCCTGAACAGTAAATAAACAAACATACCAGCAGTAACTCATTCCGGAGCAACACTCATCACATTATCATAAAAAATATATCTATATCTATCTATCTATATATATATCTATATCTATCTATCTATATCTATATATATATCTATATATATCTATATATATAGATATATATATCTATATATATATATACACACATATATATATATTTATATGTATATATATATATGTATATATATATATATATACATATATATGTATGTATATACATATATATGTATGTATATATATATACATATATGTATGTATATATATATACATATAAATATACATATATATGTATATATATATATATATATATATATATATATATATATATATATATATGTATGTATATATATATATATACATATAAATATACATATATATGTATGTATATATATAATGTATATGTATATATATATATGAACATATTGTTTTCTGTTTTCTAAATAACTTTTAATCCAGTGATTAGCCACCCCTCTTAGCCCATGTATGTATGCATGCCCATTGGCACTAAGGGGCCTAAAGTGTGTCAAGAAACCCCCACCATTAAACCACCACCACCAGCCTGCACTGTGGTAACAAGGCATGATGGATCCATGTTCTCATTCTGTTTACACCATATTCTGACTCTACCATCTGAATGTCTCAACAGAAATTGAGACTCGTCAGACCAGGCAACATTTTACAGTCTTCAACTGTCCAGTTTTGGTGAGCTGGTGCAAATTGTAGCCTCTTTTTCCTGTTTGTAGTGGAGATGAGTGGTACCCGGTGGGGTCTTCTGCTGTTGTAGCCCATCCACCTCACGGTTGTG